GGCGTCTAGAACACAAAGATTTCGCGGGGGCATGCCCCCGGCCCCCCTAGGACATTGCTGTCTCGATCGGCCCAAATTTCGCCCCCCCCCCCTTTTGGACATCTCTGGATCCGCCCCTGGTCGTTGAATGATTGTGCTTTTGATACGTGTTTTTTTGCATCAGCTGTTCATTTCCAATCTGGATTCGAACCTTCATGCAAACGCCGAAATCGGCGGGGGTCACTGGGAGGATATTGATTTCACACTCTACGTATATGCGGGTACAGCACTAGTAGTTGACGCACACACACACACACACACACACACACGTGAAACCTGGATTGATGTGATATGCCCTCTGCTTAAGTATATTACTCGACAACACAGCATCACAGAAAAGGGACTTCGCATAAATAGAATTATTACACAAACTGTAAACTGTCTTTTGCCAATGCTTTTAACCTACAAATGGTAAACTGCAAAGAAATTTGCGAGTGTGAAAAAAAATCGCCAAAACTGGGAATTAAACCCGGAGCCTCCTGTTTTATATGTAGAACTTAAAAGCGAATGTTGGATAGTCGAATCCTGGTTGAAGCTAAATGTAAATGTTTTCAATCTCTTCTTATTTTACATGCTTGTCTTCAAATCTAAGGTTACTGTGTTCAATTCTTGTGACACGAGGATTGTTCTCACGGAAAATAGGCTACATCACATCATGAGACTCAGGCTTTAGTATAAAAACATAACTAGATCCTGTGGGAGAACAGTAGATTTATACGCGGAACTGGTTAATTATACTCAAATTAGTGTGTGGGTATAGTACCGTAAACACAATATAAACAAATATATAAATAATAATAAGTGCTAATTATAATTTATCTATCTTTATATAGGACTATACATAGGCCTACCTACATACACACACAACACAGTTCTGTGTGAGCGTTGCAGGTTAACTGGTTAATTATATTCTAATTAGTGCGTAGCACCATAAACACAATGTAAATAAGTATATAAATAATAACTGTTAATTATTATAATTTATCTATCTTTATATAGGCCTATACATAGGCCTACATACACAAACAATACAGTTCTGTGTGAGCGTTGCGGGTTAATTGGTTAATTATATTATTCAAATTAGTTTGTGCGTATTTAGCATCCGTAAACATAACAAATATATAAATAATAATAACTGCTAATTATAATTAATCTATCTTTATATAGGCCTATACATAAGCCTACATAAACACACTATATACAGTTCTATGTGTGAGCGTTGCAGTCAATTGTACTAGAAAAACAGTGCCTGGGAGCTAGATCAGCGTTACCGTAAAGGTTTCCGTGGTCTAATGGTATGATACTCACATTGACAGCGGGAAGTAACTGCAGGTTCGATTCCCAACAGTGACACCTTTTTCATACAACTGAAATAGAAACTTTTCATTTATGAGCTATAGTGCTTAATACGATCATTACATGTTCCTATAGCACTGTTATTATTTATGTATTTTGTTTATATAGGCCTATGTATTATTATAGATATTAATTACTTTATGTTTTATTCGTATATTAAATTTGCCTATGCAGTACTGTACCTCTATCTCTATGAATAATTACATAATTCATGTTGCGCCAATTTAATATTATACATAATCTAGATCAGTTTTCATAGTATTTTTGGATTAATGATACTGGCTCTATTACATATACATGTAATTATGTCCGCAACGTGTCCATGGTTACATTTCTGTTTGTTCGGATACTGTATTTAGATACATTGCGTCAGCTAACTGCGTATAATAAACACGGTGGCCCAACGTCATACATGAAAACGTCACGGGCTTCAATGTATGTTTTTTATCAAATTTAAAGTATATAGATCTATATTCTTTGGTTTTATAAATTACATTACCATAGTCTTCTGTGCTGTTCCCCATAGGAATTACATCTGGATTAAATTTTGTTATTATTTCTATCTTGGCGAAAAACCATATAGGTATAAATAGGCCTACAGAATTTTAAGTGGCGTGCTAGTTGATAAAAAGGGCATGGAGGTATAAAGAGCGAGTCGTTTGTCGTGACACAGGTCGATTAATTTCGGTCGGACTCGATAGTGAAATAGAAGAGGCGCCACTGGTGGGGGCAGGGTGGGATGGAAAGACCTCCGGTCGGGAAGGGTTTGTCGGCGTCGGCAAGGAGAAACACCAGCGCGTTTTTAAGTTGTCATATCGGTCCTCTCGTCGAGGCACACCCCCCTCCCCCACCTCTATCGTTGGGGGACATTTTCCCTACCCCGTTGGGAAAATCCTGAGGCAACCACTGTTAGTGAAACAATTCCAATAATTTACACTTGCATGACGACAAAGAAAAAAAAGCACACTTTAATCGTCATTGCTTAGTAAACCAATACATTATCTAATCTTATCAATTTGCAAATATTAGGCTATCTATCATATGCATTAAGAAAATTGCCAGTTAGATTAAGAAGTATTTCGTGGAATGGCACCAAAATATCAATATTGAATGTGATTTGCATTATCAAATAGGACCTATTCCATATCCTTGCACAAAGGCCTACAGTATCCTACGATACGATTGTAGTACGTTAATTTGCTATTTTTAATATCTCGTGATAGGCCTAGACATATTTGTTGTATTTGCTTGCTGTCCATGTCGAAATACACGTTTTCTGCCTTTCAAATTGAATATAAACAATATTGACTAATAACAAATTCTTGAGAATTATACGTTGACGTTGATCACGCTCATTGGCCCGCTGAGTTCGTTATGTACATAAACCCTATAAAAGGTCGTTTGTCATGCTGCAATAAACCGTTCGAGATGAGTTCATTGAACGAATATTTCTCTGAGTTTTTCTTTCCTGACTTTATTATCACTTAGTTTATTAACGGCAGTCATATTAATTTGAGGCTCATGAAGCCAGAGAGTTTGCGTTTGGCGATGTAAAGCAAGAGTCAATATAAACCAGGCTTACTATCTCATTTCGGCGGCCAAGCATCGGATAAAAGCCAAATTTGCTGACGTCATGCGCTTATGCGCACAAACGATCGGTTATCTTTAGTAACTATGGCTACAATACGAACAGAGTAAATATCGTTACCATGGTGATAGCACGGACCACCCGGCGGTCTTCAGGTTCAAGAAATGTATAATTATGATATTAAACAATGGGAATCACTCCTGATTGATGAGCCCGTTCGTTGCATTTTTTTTACTCCCACTCGACAAGTAGGCCTGTGTAAATGCGTGATGACGTAATTAGGTCTGTTCTATTAATACTGATGATTAAAATGTAGAATATGAAACGGAAATCTTTGGACCTAATAAAGTTTTATAATTGATGCTATTGTTATCAATGAGACGTTTATTCCATTTCTGGCTTTCTGTCAAGCACCAATATTTCTCTTATGACATATCTCATCTTCCTGCATTAGCAAGGGACACGTATGTAAACCAGGCCTATATTCTAACGTCAGTAAATGCGTTTCAACTCTGTTCTGGAACTTCGAAGCCGACCCTCGACTTGGTCTGCGAGTCCACAGAACAATCGAGATATTAAATCATGTGGTTGCATTACTCTCTAATCCATAAATACTTTAGGGCGTGGGCCTACATGAGTTTGTATCTTTCGCTTTCTGTACAAATTATTTAACTCCATGCCAAAAGAAATAAATGACATAATGGAGAGAGAACAAAACAATTATCATTATTACCATAATTATGATTAGATTTTTAATATTAATATTACAGGTACCTTCACATTATGTGACCTGAGGTTATTGTGAATTTGAAATAAAGACTGATTGGAATTTAATATTAAGTATTATACTTATTAAGATTATTATTATAACCATTATTCATAATAGATATTTCCACAGTGTTGTTAAGATAATAATATTAACATGCCTTATATCTCCAAACATACATATTTTTCTGTATTTACTTTTCGAAACATTTCAATCACAACAAAATAAGTACAAAAAGAAACAAAACATAATAATGTTCAGAAATTTATTTATATAATTTATGTAGATCTCAATACACGGAGACACCTAGGTCATCATCAGTGGCTATCAACACATAAAATCCCCTGTTTTTAATCATATACTAAATGTACGCACATCACCATGACCCTCTTCACTCTCTAAACATAAATCTAAATCGTTTTTTTTTTCTTTTTTTCCTGCTGTTTTTAAAATCATAGTTTGAATAATATCACAGGGTTAAAAAAAAACCCACATATAGGACACGGAATTGAAACATGACGCCCAAAATATTCAATTTCTTAAATCAAATTAAAAGTCTTGGTTTTGTTACACACAAGGCAAGTAAATTTTATAAACACCCAATTTTTAAAGATTATACGATCATAAAGCAATTACAACCTTCAAGTGAGTGTGATTGAGTGCTTGCTGCAGTTAAGAAATTTGAATAGTGAAGGAATCCTTCATTATACTCATAGGCCTACATAAATACATATACACAAATATACATACAGACATATATACACAATTACATCAAAGTATATATATGTGTGTATTTATATAAATACTTAAATTGTTATTTAAAATGCTGCGACCAATTAAGATGCATTGTTTAGCATACAATGGGCTGGCTCACATGATCCCCACCACACTTTCAGAGGAACAACTGTACAGTACTACAATTTGGATAAACAATCATCAATCATTTGTTATCACCTAATTTTAAATACGGTTTTTTACTTCCCAACTTATATAAACACCAGGTTGCCAAACCATTCTCAAAAAGATCATCTACATCGAACAAAAATACACTAAATATATTTGTGACAATAACAAAAAAAAAGGCATTCTTTTGAAAATTGCATTCAATATTTGATCAATATATATATTTTTTAAATTTTTAACTTGCGCTGCTTAAAATCTCAAAAACATGACCAAATCAACTGTAACTGCCCAGTTTTTACTGCGCTTATAAATTTTGACCAAGCCTACATATTACACACCAAACAAATTATGGTAATCTCGTAAAACCTCTATGTAAAAATACAACCTATGAAATTGAATTCCATCTACTTTCGGGTATAGTTGATGTTCATGTATATTTTCCACTACAGTATATCGTTTATCTCTAGCAAATATAGCATTGAAATGCCATGCATTTATTCACGCAAGCGTCATTAGCCGATTGTTCTGTGACTGCTAATCGGAGCATTCCATTAAAAAAATTGCTCCATACAGTAACAGTCATTGAATATCTTAAATAGCTATCAGAAACTACTCAAATTAAAACGTTTGGTGAACATTACTCAAACAAAATCACGTTGTAATCGAAATAGAAATTCTAAATGAGCAAATAAATATTCAAATAATAACTGTATATTCATTTACAAAATTAATATCCAAAGTTGAAAACAATCATCTCCATATAATAAAATATCATAAATGGTTTTTCTTTTTGTAACAAATAAAACCAATTGTTAAAAAATAATATAATTTGCTTTGTATGATATACAGAATTTTAATAATTATGTGTGTCAAAGAAACTGGATGAATGGTTACGACTGCCTTGCCTTGCCTTACTTTCAAAACTGTGCATTTATTTTAATAAATTTGATTCGCTTGGCCAACAATGCAACTTTCCATTACAAAAGACTCACTGAACTGTAGAGAAGGGTAGGTCTTGAATCTAAACATGGAGGTCAAAGTTCAAAACCTCCACAAAAGCTGTGTTATCAAAACCACCGTCCATTATCTTTTGCAACAGGAACAAGCCACACCAATATCCCAAGCAAAATCATATGTACCTGCATATAAATTTAACCTATGCATGTTCAGGAAATAACAAGGGAAATACTTTTCTGATAGAGCAATGCAAGACTAGATGTGGTCTGCAGTTAAAGTCTTAATCTATATGATTAAAGTATACATTAAGGAATAGTATTAAAGGAATATTAGATAATCTTATGAATCCATTAATCTTATAATCCCACATCTCAAATTGCTCTTCAGTTTATACACTGTTGGTTTCTATTCATATCGCGTGATCGATTTACTGTAAGTAGTCTGTCAAAGCACATACTATAGGAACACTCATTCAAAAAACAAGAGACAATCAAGTATTTTCAAATTAATTTAAAAATCCAAGATCATAGAGAATAAGACTGAAATAAGGAAATGTTATATTCTGCTTTCTAGAGTAAATACACTACACGTGAATATCAACCAGAGAATAATACAACAGAAAAACAAAACCCTTACTTGGATTTTAAAGAGAATTACACACATTGAAGCCAAGTGATGACTTGATAAAAATACATATTGGCTAAATTTCCCTTTCAATTCCAGACATTTTGCGAAAAATAAAGGTCTTGAGCGTAATATTTGTTAAAATAATTCTTGTTAATAACTGTATTTTTCAGGAAACCTCTTATAATACAACTACTATGACCAATATTATCTTTTTTGATTATTAATATTATGACTATGATACCACTAGAAATAGTAAATGGTTGATATGTAGGGAAAACCAAACCACGACAATGAATAGAAGAAAAGTAACACATTGATAACATTCTAAATAAGGATAATAAAAAACCAAAGACAAAAAATAGATAAACAGGAAAAAAATGGATTAATTCTATATCTATGTATTTCTACTCATGATTTTCAAACATAACAATTGTGAGCAAGATCTATGTGGAGAGCCTCTTATAAAATTTAGGCAATCCTGCTTCATTGATTTACTCTTGTATTGTTCTGTTATGTCATGTGAAAAGAGAAATAAATGATATGCTACATGAAGGGAGTATCACTTTTTACGCTGCAGTAAAAAATCCCCCTCCCCTTTGCAATATCTCCCTACCTCACCCATCCCAACTCCAAATACGCCCACCCCTTCAAGTTATTTCAATATCCATACACATCTCTATTAGCAGGGAGGAACAAATTGTAGCCACACTAAGAAACACATCTAGAAGTAATGGGCTGACAGATAGATGGTATTTTCAAGCATTTCCTGAGACAAACCCAATGTAGGCAATCAGTCTTATCTACAGTAACAGCAAATTTCATTAGATTACTAAATATTCATTAGGATACATACATATTCATGTTGTCAATAAACACCACTCAGATCTTATATCTATCCAATGCTTTGTAGATCCCTAGCATTGTTTACACTCATGCATTTAATGCAACAGCTTGTTTCTGTGTTTGCCTGGCTGTGACGTACTAAAAATGCACAAATAAATAATGCAACGAAATGATGATCTAGTCTGAAAAAAAAATATCTGTACTTAGGGCAAACTGAATATTCATTAGGTAAACATGCACCATAATATAAAATGCATAAAATTATTAGTTATGAACAAAATAAATAGTGCAATTTTTATGCAATTTCTGTACACAATTCAATAGGAACAAAGGACTGTGCACCAAGCTGAGTGTTATTAGGGTTAATACATATTCATCAAACAAATATGAATAATTTATAATATAGCATAACTGAGTATTTTTCTCAATTAGAATATGTATCACTTTTGCTATCGTATGGTGAATGTGCCTGAAGGCCAATTCAGACAGCTTTGTACAACGCACCCCAATGTGATTTGTTGTTGTGTCGGGCCTGTGCGAGTTAAATGCAGACACGATGGTTTGCATCGTCACCTTGTAGAATATTAAACATGTTTAATATTTCTCACGACAGCTTAAGACTGTCCCCGACAATGATTTACACCGGGCTTCGTCGTATGATGCTGTGCGATTTGACCTTTATACTGTACACATCTGCACTACTTTTTTGGATACCCAATTTGCTTTTTGGGGTAATAAATCTATAAAATACGATTTTGCAATATACATTCTACTTTCCATAATTGCATCAAAGTAAATGTCTACTTTTCACTATTCAGTTAATACATTTGATGTTACAACATAATATATGAGTCTGCTTGTTGCAATATTTAAGAGTTGTAGTTTAGATCCCATCAAGGCTGTTGTTATACAATTGGAAAGCCTCGTTAACTGAACATATTTTAGGCAATCCACCAGGCCTATATACACTAAATATATTTAATACAATATAAGCCATTTTGATGGACTGTTTTTCAATTTGTGTATACCTGAAATATTGCTAATAAATAATTAGGAATTAACTCTTTTGTTGTATCAGATGGTTAACCCTCAACCTTAGGATATGATCAACCCCTTGACACTACAGTACCATGTGACTGAGTTAACCCAGATATTAAGTTCTGGAGAATATGCTGATGGTATGAGTAATATTGCAATCATACCTATCCTATAAAATTTGTACAGTGAATTGAAATTTGAAAAAAATATGGACAGATTGAAATCTATAAGCTGGAGGTAAAATTGTATGATGATTCTATTGAAAAAACAGCCACATCAAACATGTTGGGCAGTGAGGTGGACGTGTCCACAACTGAAAAAGCAGTGACTTGCATGTTAATCTGTTATCAATATCTGATGTTAGTGAATGGTTTGCATAAACACTAATGACTGAGCTACCACTGAAAGCTCTGCCCTTTTCAAAAATGATATCTATCAATTTACTTCCTTCTCACGACAAAGTAAGGTTTCACTTTGTCATAATCATAAATAATGATCAGTTCTTTCATCGATGTTGTCTTCTAACTCCAAGTCAAATGTTGCTTCACGAAAATAACCACTTGGTTAAGTAGTGGTGACTAATGCATTTAGAATGTCTAACGAGGACTGAAGGGATGTTGGTTCTGGGAGTATTGAGAAGGAAATCACATAATAGGTTGAAATTGCAACCTGATCCAGATGACGGAATCAACTCATACTGATAATTTCTGATCTATTCATCAGTTTCCTCTCAAACCTGAAGAGACAAACTCAAGATATCAACAAATTTCAACGCAGATCAACTTCTGTAAATAGACTAACAAATGAGAAAGGCAATGCAAAAATCTTGCGAGTTTTTTTCGTAACTGCTTATAAAATTAAAATGTTAAAGATTGCAGCGTCTTATAGTAAGTGCCAGAAGATGATGAGAGTCCGTTTAATGAGAAAAACCTGGCAGTTTTAAATCAAATATTCCAAGCGGTTATCATTTCTTTAGAGAAAATCCTACATATAAGTTCAATAACATGTATAAGCGACAAATAGAATGATGATAAGACTACAGTACATTACAAAATTCAACATAGCATCCAGCGTAAAGTCACATCAAACTGTTTCTAGCTTATTATTGACAGCAGATGTGGTAGGGAATATGGTTATGACTAATCAGTTTTCTCTTTCAAAATTGCTTGTACTCAAAAATATCATTCCCTGGCTGATTACGGCAACTCGGCAACTAAGGATTGCGTATGTCGCAAACAGCAATCCAAGCAGACTTGGTGACAATTCCTGTTGCTCAATTTTCAGCACAGGTAAAATGCTTACCCAAAAATACAATAGATAATATTTTCAAATAATAAAGATTATGTGTTTAACAAACCATATAATAATTGATACTAAATATCAACTATGTTATCCTTTAAATATATTTTGTTGATACGGTGTTTTGAGTAATTTTTTTACATAATCATATGATAATCTTTGTTGCAACTATATCTATGTTAAGTATGATCAATACATATGAGTGATGACAAGAGTAAATCACAACAGAAATCTTTTGTCGATGTCTATAGATACGTAGCGACACCCGTCCAAAGTTCAACTGTTTTCTAAGGAGTGCGAACAAATTTTAGTCAGGTAAATGTTGTATCACCACCATGATTTTACTCAGATTAATTCAGATTTATACGAGCATAGAAACACGCTGAAAATGAAAGAGCAATTATACGTTCTATTGTATGCAATTGCTCACTATGTTATCCATAAGGCTGTGTATGGCTAATGAAAAAATGAAAATGAACACACGCGCAAAAGTTAAGTCCATCCCTCCATTTTTTCCTGTTACAACTTCTGAATTTTCTTGCCAACTATGACTGGGTTATTTTTCCTAATTTCTTCCTGTCCGAGCATTCGGTAATCAAAGGAACACTCGTGTTTATCAGAATACCGATGTATACTACAATAAAGACCACCGCACCGACACTGAAAACCTATGGAGATAATAAAAGGAAAAAGCACATGAAACAAAATTATCATGTTATATCAAATTCTAATTACAATCTTATCATAAGATGAGAGATTGGCTAACTGGAGGTCAGGAGTAAACATTAATTATAGATAAGGATTACATTAAAATAAAATATAATGATATACTGTAAGCTTCATATAAGTTTTGAGATTACATAAATACAAAATTTGTATTTGTCCATTATGAGGTGAAATTCTTTTTGAGAAAAAAAAAAATAAAGAATAACATGATCTCATTTTACTTGTTTCAAAATAACCTAGATGATAAACATGTTTTTTTTTTAATTTGGCCTGCTATACTGTATCAAGATGACTTATTGGTAATTTTCAGGTCAAGAGTTTAACATATTTTCAGGTCAATTTAAACTAAATAATACCATGTTCACCCACACACAAAATATTTGTTAATTATTATATTATAATAAACAAAAAATGTTACAATGCATTAATTATATGAGATATTTTAGTCACACACACCCTGTTCAATATTCGTTTTAAACATAAATGTATAAATTTTGAGGTACTTTTTCTCCATGTTTCACCGTTCAAAAATAAATGTACATTTTAAACTATTGTATTCCAAGCATTTTCCTCACTGTTTTCATAATAATGATACTGATTGGAAATTAAAAATAAAGGCCAGCTCGGAAACCGTCGTAGGACGCAGCCCGATGTGGTTTGTTGCCACATCAGGTCTGTTTGAGCTGAGCGTAGACGCAACACGTCTGCATCAGAGACAGTCGCATCACAGAGACAGCTGTATTATGCGCCTTATAAAATCCATTGGCTGATTGAATATCAAACCTGTTCAATAATATACAGCATTATCAGAAGACCTTAAAGACTGTTCCCGACAATAAATTGCGTCGGGCTACATTGTAAAACGTTTAGTTGGCCTTTAGATTACATGCAAGGGAGGCAAATTTTTTTTTCTGCAGGTAGGTTCAGCCTATTGCAAGGTCTAAACCAATCACTACGCAACCTACATGTAGAAAATAAAAAATGCTTGTGATGTTGGTGGCGCACTTCACAGCTTGTTCCTGGTTTTAAAATGTACAGTACACAATTTTATGTAATTTAGGGTAGGCCTACATACTATACTAAATTGCAGAAAATTATGTACATTTTAAAACAAGACTTGAGATGTCTGTAATCTTTAATGGAACATTGTGAGCTAATGCACTTTTTAAATCAAAACAAACCTTGGAGAAATCAAACGGACAGTTCCAAATGGAAGACAACTCCAAAAATTATGAGTCTTCTGGACAAATTGGTAGAATTGGTACCAGTATGTAATTATGTAGTTGTGGTTAATAAGTATGAAGTCTGAATCATGAAGCAATTGAATATTTCCCTTCCTTAGCCTCGAGGACATTGAAAGTTATTTAAACAATCTTCACCAGTACCAGTATTAAAAGGTAATCTTAGTTTGGAAAAAAACAAATTGTTTATTAATATATAGGCACAATAATAAACACTGAGTGATAGGATTGTTTATCTTTTTAGTGTAAAGTTTTAAATTACACATTACTTAGTCAGAACAATTCAAGTCACATGAAAATTGAGTCATAAAATCTCCCACATGTACCTTTTTATATTTTAAATAGTTTATTCCTGTTTAAAAATCCCAGTCACATGACTCAAGCATTATATAAACAATTGTAGTTGAGGTTAAATTACTCGAAATTTCCTGTTTTTTCCGAACAAGGAATTAATCATTACTGCGTTAATAATAAACTCTTTGTAGAAACCCCCACAGTTAAGCTTTAGCTTGAAACCTACACATTAATCTCCGAAGGGGAATAACCCATTTTACAATACTGAGGGTATGCACTTTTAAGAATTTTACGTTGGATTATGGAGGCTTATTATATCAATGCTTCCTTGAATTGATATCAGTGTACTGTGCCACCTTACGCCTCTATGCACCTCAGCTTTATATTAATGTATGTCGATAGAGACCACCTAATACGATGAACATAATCATGAGGCATTCAGCGTCAATAATAAATGTAGCAAAAGACCACAGAATCATTACAAATACAGTACCATATTCCATAGTAGTACGAGAGATATTGTAATAATTCGATTTAATTTAAATCTAGGCACATGTTTACATTTAAATATAAATTTTAAAAATAAGATCAATTAATTTATAAAAACAAAAATTAATTGGCAATTTAGGAAACTCATGATTTTTATACTGTATTTTTTTTTTATTAGATAATAAATCCCAAAAGATTTCAATAAAAAAGAAATTGAATAAATTTCTATACTATCGGCAACTAAAAATACTGTATAGTTTTAGATTATGTGATTAAATGATCTAATTAAGTGCGTTGAACATGTGCTGGTCAAGATAATAAACAATTTGCTAGGTTTGCATTAGAATTATGTTTCAATCACTAAAGTGGGTTTTATCAATCTTCTATAATTAACATATCCATAGTGATAAAAAAGGGGGGAAAGTCTATTAGTATTATCAACCACTATCAAAAGAACTGAACTAGTACTGATAAATGTATATTTCATAGCTTTGGTTTTTGGTTTAAGCTTTTCTATTTTCCTTTTAAGTTTGTATTTTTGTAAGTAGTTCTTGTTTAGTTGTACATTTCATACTGCAGGTTAAGTTTTAATGATATGTAAAAGGTACATATACAGTCTCGTGGAAGAACACTTTAACGACCTTCCATTGTAAAAGATATTATTATTATTAAATGGAAAAGAATAGAACTGAACTAGTATTTGATTTTAAAAGAATATAATTCATCAATCCTGTAAGAATTTCCATACTGGCTTCCTATATTTTGGCAATTATGAACCGTAATATTATTGAACTTGGCCAAGCCTGTCAGAGTAGCAAACATCACTCCCAAACATGCGCGTCTATAAATATTCAGTTCTGTTGATTGATTTTCACAGCAGGTAAAAATTCCAGATTGTTCTCACCTGTGAGTCCCACTTTCTTGCGGCATGTATTACATCTATTTTTCTTTGATTTCTTTTTTCCGTCGGGTGATTCTTCTTCGGCACACACTGTAGATGAGTCTACGCTATCTGTGCTTACATTAGAACATGCTGTATCTTCTGCTATCTTTTTCTCTTCTTGTCGTTCTGATTTTGTGCTGTCACGTGAAATTGATGAACAAATAGACATTGATGCAGAAACTGCATTGCTAAGTGTGGATGATACTGTCATATTACTGGCTGGACTGGTATTGCTAGAGGCAACGGCTGTAAATTTAGAAAACAAGGAAAACAATGTTAATAAAAACATCGAATTTTTGTAAAATTAGTAACAAAAAATTACACTAGCTAGATCTAAATACAATGAAATATGTCAACTTAATTTTGAGCACACAGAGCATTGTAAGAAACCTGATGACCTTCATATTCGCGTTCACTAGAATAAGTTCACCAAAAGGTTAGTAATTTGATCAATACTCTATTTATCATTCATTGAATATTAAACAACAGTTGATACTTGTATTATAATTAATTATTCAGTATTATTATTAGCTTAGCAGATGAACGTTAGAGCTTGGGATTGTACCAAGCATCCTCTCTCTTTACAGTTAGGCTTAATTTCATTATAAAACATGACACAGAATATATTCAACTTTTGTGGCATATTGTAAATCAAATTCCTTAATTCTAGTATCTATAGTATCTGGTTTTTAGTACTTAAGAATAACAAGTTTAAATATAGACATTTCTATTAAAGTTTGTCCTAGTTTTACAATTTTCAAGGACTTGTACTGTGTTTCCTACAAGTTCTCTTGTTTTCTAAACAATGTAATAACCTACAATACTGTACAAGGCCATTCAGGGGTCAATGAATTTTTGCTCAATACCATGCTGTAGACAAGGCTGTAATGAGAAACGTGAAAAACTACATGTTTGCATTTTAATAAAGCAATGTCTGTTTATTAAAATGGTAACATTTGAAGAACATACTTTATACTACAGTAGCTCGTAGAAATTGTATGATTTAGGAATTTGTACAATATTGTAGTCTAAAAACATTTTTTTCTACACTGGGTACTATACATCATAATAAACAAAAATTATGAAAAATCACTCGACAAGAAACTTGCTCATTATTATACTACATAATTGCGACAATATGTAAAAAATGTAGATGACAGACACAGTGAATTTTATGAGAACTATAGTTAAATTCCCCAGGCAGGCCTTACAATTCAGTGTTGTACTTAGGCTAAATACAAATTCGCATAGGAAAGGGGTTGTCTAATATTACTGGCATTCATTCAATATATGCTCATAACAAATTTTACATAGAAATGACAACAAACCTATAATTATAAATAATAATTACATTAAGTAACACGTCCAGACAAAGAATAATAAGATTAAGCGTGTCTAAAGACGAAACACGTAAATGTAGGTTTATAGTGTACAAATCAATGCCTGCGTAGATTATATTTTTATATAAATTCAACTTTACTCTTAAAACAAATGAATACACATAATAAAAGGTCAGCTAGTAAGAAAAAGGACATTTGTAAGTATCCAGAGTTGTGATTGAACCAATGACATTGAGGTTATTAATTTATCCTAGAAATTTCCGAATTTAAGAGGCCTATATTAAAAGGCCAGTTTAATGAGGTTTACTTCTTTTCTCTGACCCAGATTTAGGCCATGGCTACTGTAACACAATCTAATTCTGATTGTGGATGTTAATGATGTCCTAATCCAATCCAACAATAACATCCAATCAGAATAGGAATTTTTTAAGACTGTATAATAAATTCTTTCTTTAAGTCAAGAAATACTGTAACTTTTCAATAAGTAAAAAAAAAAAAAAAATCATGCAAATATCTAGACTAATGTATCCAGAAACATAAGATAGCTAATTTTTTTATTATTTTTGAACCAAAAATCCATGAATTATAAAATACAAATTGTACAAAAAATATTAATTTTTGGAGTAAATAAAAAAAAAAAAAAAAAATTATAATAGGCCTGTAAAAGAAATGACAGCAGCACTTTTAACTTTTAAGACTAAATTGTAAAATTTAATCTCTAGCTTTCATCCACACAGGAGACTGTACAAATGGGATAACAAACATAAAATACAGTTGAGATAACGAGGAGAGGGCCTACAACAACAAAGTATGCAAATGTGGTGGACAAAGCATCTACTAGTCTGCAGAAATAAACATCCCATAATATACAAAGTACAGAAGATCAATGTAAAATAAAATGTGGCACTTAGTATAGAATATAGGCCTACTTTATTTTAAAAAAAAAAACATTAAGTTTATAGATGTCATCATCAAAACCTTAAAAACAGAGCGTAAAATATGAAATATTATTTTGGTTGCTACCAATAAAATCAAAGGTCAAGAACCTCCCTATGAGATGACATGATCTTAAATAAAAAAAATTATATACATAATACTATTATCTATAGTAGGCCTACTACTGTACACAGCTTCTGAATAGCCTTGAATGGAGAGGGTTTGTGAAAGCACTCATGCTAAAACAGCCACTCATCATTGTAAACAAGCTCAATATCTAACCCCATGGGATCATGACAAATAACTTTCAAAGAACTCACTCCTAAAATGCATAAAGGCTTGGTTATTAGTCATTATATGTAATGAAAGCTACTCAAATTAAACTGTCAATGAACTGAGTTTTACAATCAGGTTTGTGTGTGTTTTAGACAGATTTTATGAATCTATTCTAAATGTATTTGAAATAAATGTTTTAGTATATTATTATCAGAACTCGTGTTTAAAGTCCATGGTCAATAAACTGGACCCAAAAAAACAAAAAAAAATGCAATGCTAAATATACTTTAAATATTCTTTTTTTATTTGTTTAATAATATAAGCGCTCCGACAACCTGAGAATTTTTAAGCTGTTCAAAACGATTTCATGGAGTTTGTTGACAATACCTGATACATAAACAAAATATACTGTATTTAATAAAGCCTAGTACAATTTCAGTTTCAATGTACTGTACAGGTATGTTTGACTTGAGCACCCGAACTACTTTATGTACACAAACATTTTATTACTAAAAAAAAAAAAAAATGAATAGGCATATTGATCAATTTTAGGAATCAATTTTTAATTGATCACTACTAGGACACACATGGTTATGGCCTAGTTCAGACCAGGTGGATAAACCCGGTTCAACTCACCGGGTTTATCCACCTGCCAGTCTGAACCAAGTGGCTTATCTCAAGCCGGGCTGTGTTCCTATAGTAACTAGGCCTGGCGTGCCACTGTGTTTAGCTTTTCTAAGCCGGGCTTTAATCGTTGCGGGGGGTCTTGCATTGACTTCGGGTGACAAAATGACCAATCAGTATTCAATTACAGTTCACTATTATGCAAATACTCGCCTGGCTAATCCTGCTAGTCTGAACGCCCGGCAAAGTTAAGCCGGACTTAACTCAAGCCTGGCTTATCTCCAAGTCTGAACGTAGAGTGCAAGTCAGAGAAGTAGGTTTACGAAAAAGAACATGAACTTTTGTTGTTGCATCAAAAAGGTAATTTAGATTAATATATTTGGATAATTACCAAAGATTATTTTAAACTTAATTGTCAGTGTGCACTGGATTAGATTATAAAGTTTTGCAGCTGATTTTTTACGAAAGATAATGACGATGATCTAGCGACCTATCTATTGCAACCAGAGCCTAGCTAGGCTGGGCCTAGGTTTCTTTCTGTGGTGGTGTAGCTGTAGCTACTAACTTACCTAGCCTAGCCTCGGAGGCCTAGGAGCAGAGAATAAGTTGTTTTTGTATTATGTACAGTACCCAAACTGCTGTCTTTATTTATTTTCATAATTTATCTGTAATGATTTTCCTTTCTATTAAGGGTGTGAAATATGGTGTCTCGTGGAAGACGGAGGCCGCATACATCGCCCAACGTACACAAGTAAAATTAACTCATCTAGATGCGAAGACCGCTGTCTTACCAAGTACTAAAATGAGGTGTGGCCTTGAATTGCACATTCGTTGTAGCATAATACTGATTTGATGGAAGTAAAAAATAAGATGTATAAACAAGATTGAAATGTTAATACAATTTGTTGAATCATATTTTAGTTATTCTTGCCAGTTATGAGTTTATAAAAAACAGGATTTCAAACGAAGTTAATTTTAAATTTACACTAAAAAGTCTTGATGAATTTAGTACTCTATGTGGCCTAAGCCCATATTATTATTATTATTATAATAAATGTATAATATTTTAATGAAGTTTATTAATACATATTTTCAGTTCATAGTTTAAAACATACAGTATTCTGTCTAACAAGTTCTGTTGCACGTTTAAGATGACCCGCTGTTTTTTTTTTTATTGTAATTTGCTATTTAACATAGCATTACCTTATAGGCGAGAATATACAGTAACCATTAAACAATATCCTAATTTAAACTACAGTACAGACACAAATTATCGCTTCGTATCTGCGCGTAACCTCTCGTAATCTGCTCGTAGGTAAATTTTGAACATAGCTACGAACCACTACGAAGGTCATTGTTATTTTAATTAGCTTTGCAATGATCGTAGGCTGGATCGTCGGGCTGATAAACAATATTGAAATATAGTTTTACCAGCTTTCAACTCGTAAGCAATGTTGCAATTTACTAATAAACAATGTTAGAACTTTATTGTTTTGTTATATCCTACCTTATTATTAAATCGATCATGTTTTAAAACTGTGTTTAGTTTGCTACCTAGGCCTAGAGTGGGCATTCAGTATGTTCGAATTTCGATGTCACTTAGGCTTACGTACGGCCTACATTTTCCCATATAGAGGAGGACAGTAGTTATACTGGTAAACTTTCCAATTCGGAGAATTTTGATCTGATATTATTGTTCTGGTAGTAGGAATTTTCTTCTTTTAAATAATACTAATGACAAATCATGTACAAATTATTACGATTTCTACAGATCACGTTGTTTATTGTTTACCATAATTTGAAGCAGAACAACCTGCAAGGCGATCCAATACTAAATGGAAGTATAGAAATCACTACCTTGCCAAATTAAGGCTAGTCATGCTAGACCGCATTTACTCTGTTTTTTACTCACTGTTGCTCACAGCTTTTCAACATTTGCCACGAGGTTAACCTTTAACACACTTTACCATGTTCTGATTGGCGCGCACTCTGACGTCTAATGCTCCTGGCTAAGTTTTATTTTCCATTGGGTTTTCCATGTGACATTCGGTAATTTTACAACCAACGGAC